CATTTCATTTGGCTTTTCCCGTTGATGTTAACTTTAAGTTGTGCAATCAAACACCAGAACACCCCCATACATACAAGCAAAACGTGCAAGTGTTACCACTGATAGATCAGAGTAGGCAATTTAAGAGTTAATCCTGGAGCAGTGTCCTCAAATAACCCTACCGTGGCTTGATATTACAGCTGAACATGCTGCCTCTAGTGCTTCCCAGCTACTGCTATCAGATGCTCTGTAGCAACTTTCCCTGCTGTAGCCACTATCGCAGTCACTAACACCGAAATGCAATTAAAGCTGGCATTTCCAGTCTCATCCCAGTCCCCTGGGAGCTGCAACCTTTCCTCCTCACAGCACTGCCGCACCCTGGCAGAGCCAACTGTGGCCCTGGCAAGGGAAGGGCTGTGGAAGTCATCTTGGCACTTTACAAGGGACATGGGAAAATGTTAACCTTACATATCAGCTGGCTCCCGAACCGCTCAATTTTCCTGTTAAATCTCAGGCTTTCCCATGTTGCGGACACAGCCGATTGTGTAAACCAAATTACAGCACACGACAGTGGTAATTTCTCCATTCCTCCTCTGTTGACATTTACACGGGCAATTTATCGCCTGCTAAAATTACCACTTCCCCCGTCCAATCCCAGAGGGATCCCTGCTCGGGGCGGAACGCTGCTGTGCGAGCAGATGCCATCTTTCAGATGTGAACAGCAAAGCCTCCGCTCCATTTTACAGTGCAAACCTCCTCATATTCAAACAACTTGCGTTTTCAAACTACGTTTTGCCATAACAATTATTTTTACTATTTACAGGTCCATATTGAATGTACTGCTTTTTCTGCCCTTCTTGCTTTTCAAGTAAGGTGGAGGGGGAGGAGAGGCATTTTTTAGCTTAATACAATCACCTGGAAGCCCTTCCACACAGATCTAAACCTGACAGATCATTTTGTTCCATCACAGTTTTTTTTGATACCTGCATGCTGCAGTCAGACCGTGACTACTTCTGCCTGCAGCATGGTCTGCTCTACACCTACACACATAAAAGAAGTTGATTTATTTATCCGGAGAAGAAAATAGGTAAGTCCCCTATTATTAGTTGGATTTTCCCCTCAGAGCCATCAACTGCCCAGGAAAGCATTTTCAGATGACCAGTCCAAACAGGCAAAATTCAGAAAGAATTCCTGTTTCTGCAAGAACATCTGTAAAACCAGCAGCACAACTTATACAAACAACAGAAAAGAAAGCAGGCTGAGATAACGACTGAAACAGCTGATTCAAACAACACCTTCCTGCTTATCTTAAATCCATCCACTCAATATAATACAGAGAATCCCAGTAATAAGGTACTTTACAAGATGATCTAAGAAACCTCTTCTTTCAGACAGGCATCTCTGGTCTGGATTTGCATATCTGTCCTATAAACAGAAAGAGAATGAAACTGAGCACAAAGCATTTTTGGCGAGTCTATGCTGCTTACTCTGAAAAGATTCAGAAAATCTTAGTCCTGCTTGATTTATTTCCAAGCAAATCCATTATTTCCAATTATATTTGGGATATTAAATTATGGCTGAAATACAAGTATGAAGATTCTTTTTAGTGAAGGCAGTAACTTTATAAAATTTTATGCTTCATCATGCATAAGACAGACTTCTTCCAGAATAAAATCTCAAGTAGCTGGTCTACCCTGGTCACTTCCTAACTAACAGTAATGGAAGTCAAGTTTCTCTGCTGTGAAACTCAAATCTTGGAATGAAATCCATCTGATTTCTACTCAGAACCTTGCTGAGACAAGCACACTTACATAATGGAATTTAACTTTCTTAGACCAATTTAAGCCTGAGCAAAACTCAACAGAGACATTCTTGTGCAATTTTGTCTCACGTCGTGCCACGACCTGCATGCTATATCCACAGATAATCAGTGTTCCTCACCAAAAAACAACTCCTGAAGCTCCTGGCAAATACTCTGTCTGCCTCTCAGAAAGGATGAGCCTGGGAATTCATGAGACTTCCACTCTGATCTCTCCCATCAGCAAAGAGTAAGAGTTTCACATATGAAAGGCCTGATGGTGGTGTTGAAAGATAGAGGGAGTGTATTCAAACAAGCAGACTCCTGAATTTTCTATTCTGAGAACTATTATACCAGAATACCACTCCCAACCGCTACTTTACCTGACAACAGCACTGGGATAAGATTAAAATTTAATGTAAGTAAAATAAACAAGGCCATAGAGAGAATCCAGTTCCATTTTCAGACCCTATTTCACAAATCCCCATGGAGGGCGTGCCCACCCTTCACTGTACACGCTCCTAACCTGAGAGACCCATGGTGTTGTCGAATCATCAGCTGTAGCAGAAAAGGTCACTGTTTGAAATATATCATCAAAACCTGGTTATTTTGGCACCTAACTGAGAGAGACATGGGAAAAAGAGCTCCACATTTTATGACAGCTTCATCTCAAACACTGTAGTCACAGGGGGAGCACCCAGCTTCTCAGAGCAGGTCACCTAAGCATTCAGGATGCCAAGCTATAAAACTGAAAGCATTTAACAACCAGAGTTAGCCTGCCTAATTCCAGGGTCAAGATTAATGCTGACGGCAAAACAATGCCATTCCCTAATTACAAAAGGAAATGTAGAAAGCATTTCCTTCCAGTCCTTCAGATTCTGGAATTATTCCCCACTTTAATGAGCATTACCTCTATACAATGCAGCATTTCCTCCAAAAGAAACGTACTTCCTCTTCTACCACCCAAACACTTGTTCTAAAATGAGGTTATATCCTTTCTTACCCAGGATTCAAGTGGTATTCTTGCCATCATAATACAAAGCAAGACTTCATCAAAAGTTTCCCTGAAGCCAAACTCAGCCCCCATCCTCCTACACTGTAGGAGGCATATTTGGGGAAGTAGAGGACAGCCTAAATCCCACAGGTTAACCTTCCTGCTTTTCTAACAGCTTTACAAGATGGTAGTAAAACCTCAATGGCCTATTTCTACTGCTTGAACTTTTACCTAAGTATTTGCCTAGAAATTTAATGAAAATGGAAGAAAAATTCCAGTAAATTGGATTTTTCCCCCCTTCTTAATTCTATTTTTGTACAACTTGTAGCTCTCCTAATAAAACTGGTCTTGTCCTATCAAGCCAAATTCCACATTAGTCCCAGAAAAGTTTAGTTGAAGAAGTTCAGCAGTAGGTCTTAAGATAGGTAACTTTTTGGCCATCCTTTCCATGGGTACTATTGCTTACATCACCAACCAAACTAACAACATTATACTACTACTTCTCTATTTGTCCTCAACTGGTCCTACACACTACTAATATCTGATTTTTTTGACTGCTGCTTGTCAGTGTCAACAGATGAAGGACCAAAGCTCAACAGTACACTCAGTCTACACCACAGACTTCCAAAGGACAGAATTTCAAGCATTTCCCCTTCCCACTTACACTGTCCATTGCTTTGCTCCCACCAGTGCTCAAAGAAGAAAGAAAACGTAACACACAGGACAAAGAACAGACTGCAACAAGTGATGTCATACAGACTGTGCAAACTGATCAATCTACTACTCACTGTTCTGTTTAAGGACCGGACAAATTCATCATCCTTTTAACACCAGCCTGGCCACAACTATGCACATAATCCAGGAAAAAGCTCCTCTTATTCAGCTTTTTTTTTTTTTTTTGGTATTTAAAAGGGCTTTTTTAAAGGTTTCTTTATGCTGTGTACCATGTAAGACAATTTGCTGATATAGTCACTACTTTCAATGTAAAAACCGCCTTTATATCAGAGTAGTATCTCTCCGTAGCACCTTTTTTTCCCTAACCACACATTATCTTCCACACTGATCTATGCTTTTAAGTTCGATCGATTAGCACCGGCTGTTCTACGGCTTGTTCCCCTCTGCTTCAAGAACTCAAATGCTGAAACATCTGAAACCGTTCTCCATCACAGACCGTGAATGCAGGAGAAAGGATCACACCTTTAGTATGGAACAAAACCCTCTATCAGCTGCTACAGACTCGTGCTGGACGCTTCTAGGAAGTTCGTCCCAGCGGATGAGGCCGGGCTGGATTGTCCCAGCAGTGCCGTGCTGGGCACAGCCCGGAGCCGACGCGGCCCCTCGGGAACAGCGGCTGCGCTGCTGCTGCCGCACCAGCACCTCCACGGGGGCAAAACCAGGCCAGATACGGGCAACAGACCCACCTAGCCTCCTCAGCATTTCAAACTAGCTCTAAATCACAAAATCACCGAGGCTGGAAAAGTGCTCTGAGGGCGACCAGGGACCCAACATAACCGTGTCAAGCACGGTACTGAGTGCCACGTCCAGTCTTTCCTTAAAGACCTCCAGGGACAGTGACTCCACCAACTCCCTGGGCTACCCATTCCGGTGTCTAATCACCGTTACTGAGAATAATTTTTTCCTGATGTCCAAACTAAACCTCCCCCTGGCGCAGCTTAAGACCACGTCCTCTTGTCCTATCGCTGGTTGCCTGGGAGCAGAGCCCGACCCGCACCTGGCTGCACCCTCCTGTCCGGGACTTGTGGAGAGCGATGAGGCCTCTCCTGAGCCTCCTTTTCTCCGGGCTGAGCTCCCCCAGCCGCTCCTCACACGCGCTCCAGACCCTTTCCCAGCTCCGCTGCCCTTTTCCGGGCTCGCTCCATAAGGAGCGCTGGATGGAGTTGGACCCCAGCACCCCGAAGCCGAGGGGCAGGACCCCTCTCCCCAGCTCCCCCGATGCCGCTTTGCTTTTC